GCTAAGCAGCTTTTTGTCTACTGACTTAACAATGCTTGAAAAGTTTCCGGCTGTCCCGTTAATACTCAGCCTAGCTTGCTGACAAGTCGTTACGTGTGTTTCCTCCAATCTTAGCATGGAATAACTCTGCTAGTCAATATTGAAATTCTACCTTTGGATGATGTAATTTATCTTGATAATCGGATAAAAATAAAATTTGTGTACTGTAAGCATACACGTACTTATTGAATAAATGTCTGTTGCTACTCTAATCCCAGTTTATACGGTATTATAAAATATGAAGAATAGCGTCTTGTAATTGTTGTCTTTTTGAGCGTAATTCTGCATATACGAAGATTGCTATCTTTTGCTGCTTACGAAGATTGCTTTTGCTATTATAAATTATTTCACTTATAGTAATTTCCTGGTTTAGGTGGCTAGAAGATGAGTTATTTGCCAGTGATTATTTCCTATTTCTTCGCGTTAAAGCTTCTCTGTACGTTTTGCTACTATTCAACCGATTTTGAGGTACGTACTTTTATTTTTCTATTTTGTTTAACTGTATGGATTGTTCATTTTGATCGGTCAGCTTCCTTGTAATACGTAAATTTGCGGCGTACCCTTTAGTATAATTCGATTAGTTTGTTGCTGTCCCTTACCTTCACGCTTCTTAAGGTAGTGGTCTTCGCTCAGCTGAACTGTTTAATATCAGAGGTTGAGTGAGGTCTTCCTTACATTGTAGTTAAGCATTTCTTAAATATTTGCCATATTTACTTCTTTGTTGCATGTATCGTTACCAATACTTGGAGTTAATGAAGTTAAAGTTTGATTTTGTACACGCTTTTCGTTTTTTATGAGTCATTGTTTTTGAAATGGGCTTTCGAATTTGTCATTTACCTAGATCTACACTTTGTGATGATGATCGCATTGGATAGTCAGCTGACAGGTAGGAAAGGCAAATTGCATTCATGAGAGGATCTGGCAACAGACAACATCGTCGTGTCACTCGACCATTCGTGAATGACCACAGTAAAACGCCATGTTGTTCAAGGGTCAACGACTGATTACCGATTTTTCTGCTGTTTGCACCCAAGCAACGCTAGGTGAATTCCTTGCGCATGGAATTTATCGGTTAATAAAATTTTTTATTGTATTGGGCTGTCCGTCAGCATTGACAATTTTGTCACTTGGTATCTTGAGTCTTCAGATCATTTTGACGTGTTTCACAGGCTAATTCTTATTTGTTTTCAATCCGGACTTTCAGGCAGTGTTGAAGCAAGTTTCTGACATACCGTAGAAGTGCCTACATGCTTCAGTGACGAGTTATTTCTGTTTTTAATGGTGCTTTCTTCACTTAGGTACATCGTAACTGGATGGCAATAACTAGTAATGTCGCAGTGACCAAATGGTACCAAGAAAATACGTCTGTTTGGACTCTCGACTATCCTCCATTTTTTGCTTGGTTTGAATACGGACTTTCTCAGGTGGCAAACGTTTTTGATCCTTCCATAACAGTGCTTTCCAAACAGCCGATGAATTCATTTAACACCGTTATTTTTCAACGTTTTTCAGTCGTTTGTACCGACGTTTTGTACGTAATAGGTGCTGTTGGTATTTCGTCAGCGATAAAAGACGATTCGGCGTTGAAGAATTTGCGACGCGAAGTGCTGATTCTCCTTCTCTGTTTGAACCCTTGTTTGCTGTTGGTGGACAACATCCATTTCCAGTACAACGGGTTCCTTTTCGGCGTTTTTCTCCTCTCCATAAGGGAAATGTACCTCGGCAACGTGCTGCTCAGTTCTGCGTATTTCACAGCTCTTCTGAACCTGAAGCAGTTGTTTCTGTACATCGCTCCTGCTTATGGCGTGTACATTTTTAACAAGTATTTAGTCATCGACGGACACTCTCCTTACAGATTTTCAAAGCGAATCGCATGGAGTCGATGCTGTCGTCTGTTTATGGTTGTGGTTTTTATTTTTTCACTAAGTTTAGCTCCGTTTTTGTATGCTAACCAATTGGGTACTTTAGTTTCGCGTCTGTTTCCGTTCAAGCGTGGTCTCACCCACGCCTACTGGGCTCCAAACTTTTGGGCGATGTACAGCTTCGCGGACTTAAGCTTGCATTTCGTATGCAACAAGTTGAATTTCACAATGTGTTACGCGACGACCGCGACTGCCGGATACACGACCGGCATCGTACAAGATTTCGCGCATTTGGTTCTTCCCAGAGTGACCCCCCTGGTCACATTTGTAATCGTATTGCTCGGTTTGTCGCCACTGGCTGTTTCGTTCATGAGACCCGTGACGCCCGATGCATTCGTGAAGATGTTGGTGGCTTGTGCGTTTTCAAGCTTTCTATTCGGCTGGCATGTTCATGAGAAAGCAGTCATAATGATCATCGTACCATTGACAATTTTGGCTTTGAACGACCGCAGTTATGCCAAAATATTTTTGCTGATTTTTTCCGCCGGACTTGCTGGTCTGTTCCCCCTGTTTGCTAGGCCATTTGAAAGCGTTCTGAAGTATGGTGTGTTTGTTGTTTACTTCGGCATTGCGTACATGTTGCTTCACAAGATGCATGGCTGCGGCGGAAAAATTAGCCTCTTGACGGTTCCGGAATTGTTCTACGTGCTTGGGATAGTATGCATAGAATTCTACTGTAGATTCGCCCATACTTTACTCTTCACCACTCGTCTGCCGTTTATGCCGTTGTTGATAACATCGGTCTACTGTGCGATAGGAGTGGTTTATAGTTGGATACTGTTCTGTTGGCATTTCCTATTGCATGAATCTGTTCACGATATTTCTGTCAGAACGATCAAACCGACTTGAACAGGGTATTGTGATTAACGGGTGTCAGTGAGTTTTCAGATGTCATGATTTTTTTCCTTGGATAAAAGTTCCCGTGTTCCTTTGTTATTATTCTTCTCAGTTGCTGAGAAGAAGCCTTCGATAATGCTGACGTTAAGAAAATTGGTTGGTGCTACACGGAGCCCCTCTGCTCGACCTGTATATTTGTGCTTGAAGACGATTGGAAAAACAAGGTGATCGGTACTGACTGACGATTAAGAGATTACATTTTGCTGCAATCTACTTTTTCATCCCCATCCAATCGCCACCTCACTGCAAAAATTAGAGTGCCTCCTAGAAGTTCTCAAACATTTTCCGGTTAAATCAATCAAACATTGATTTTATCATGTTTGAAAAAATGATGCAACCAGATGACGCACTGGTCGACCGGGAAATAAAGCGAAAATTTTCAGGATTGAGCAAAAGCGCCCTGAAGAGCAAATCGGGAGGAATGTGGATGTAACAGAAATCTACGGGATAAGCGTTCGCACCAGTTGGAAGAACACTATGCCGAGGAAGTACGGTGCGGAGTAAAATCTACCGGGGTGTCAAAGCTGAATATGAAAAATGCGTATCGACTGTGTTGCACGCTGTAATGATCAGTTATCCTATTATGGAACAAGTTGGAATGGGTAACCAAGAAAAGCAGTTAATGTACAGTTATTGCAAGGCGGGAAAAGTTTCCAGGAAGGAAATAAATTTCGGCTCTGGAAACTTCGTAAGAAACAAATTATGAAGCAGATGCCCAAAAATGTGATGCTGTATAGAGAGACAGTGAATAATTAACGATTTGTCGGTGACAAAGGACTACTCACTGATGAGTAGTGTAGAACAAGTGCAAGAGTATATAACAGTTTGAAACGGCTAATGTGAGAACTGGAAATTACTTTGAAGAAACTGACAGAGAGTACATAAATAAAGGTTAAAGGGCAGCAGCTCGAGAAATTTCCGGTATTTGAAAACCCCCGTCTTTTTAATGCCATAGAATGAACTATGCATTTGTGATATTGGAAGACGGGCGTGTCTTACAAAATATGGAGCTGAACAGAGGTTAGAAGGTAAAAATCATACACAGAATAAATGCACTGCTGTGTAAACTTCAGCTCAGTCAGCAGTAGTCACGTATAGCTCAGACTTTGGTTGTCAGACTGGTTCTCCTTGTGAACGCGAATCGGCACTCCTCCATTACTCTGTTCTCTGCTGTATGCTTCTTCCATCGCTGGTCAAATAATTTAGCCATTGGATAGTCTCAGCGTGTTCTTAGACACCCAATTAAATATTTTTGGTCCTGCGGAACTTTTCTAATATTTGACGTCCATCGGTTTAGCTCACATGGCTCAAAGACATATACATGAAAGAATAGCGCAAAACAAACGGTTTTAACAATGATTAGATCTACTTGAAGAAAACCAGCTGAGTTTCTCGTTTGGATAGAATTTACAATGGCTACGTCAGAAAATGATTGCTTGCAAGGCATTACATACAGACGATAGCTGTTAATTAACAGCGTAGATGAATTCGCTCTAACGCGAAGAGAATATAAAAGACTTTCTAACGAAGTTTTTGGCGAAGCATGAAAAAGCAGGCAGGAAATATGCCCAGGAAAATTGCACGAACTTAATGAAAAATGCAATATGGTCACGAAATAAGAAAAAGATGGGAAACTGCGTACGGCAGTGTTTTTACCCTCGATTTGAGGCTTCATGGGAAAAAAAGATTTGAATATCGTAAACATATATAATCTCACAGAATTGTTTATTGTATGTGTGAATGATTGCAACTGCAGTTGTATTAAGAAGACAACCTCTTCAAGTACTGACCAGTCCCCTCAGTGGAGATATGACTGGCAACTGCTTTGAATGCTACAACACCTGCGGACAGTAGAACGAACTTCAGAAGTCTACCCTGCCCACTGTGCAGAAGGCTCGTGGGACATGAGCCGAAACGCCGGTACTGGTCAATTTGTTTGCGTTATATATGAATAAAACGTGTTTTTATGCAGTTTTTACCACGTCAGCAGTGGGGCATGCGTTTACATATATGAATGGGATCAGCTTGAAACAACTTTCTCTAGCGAGAAGGATGCAAATTGCGGAAGATAGAAATTTGTAGCGAGTCTTAGTGGCCCTTGCACCCAGCAATGAATCGATAAAGATTATTGATGATTTCGCAACATATGAATATGCTATGCTCTAGTTAGAACAGTTTTGTTCGAGCAGGTTTCATTATTCGTTTAGGGTTTATTGATGAGCGTCTCAAATGTTCAGTTCAGAAACAAGAGAGACGGAAAAGAATTCAAAAGAATTTCTTCTGAACTTCGAAAATCACGTTTCACAAAATTTGAACAGAAGGACAAATTATTTTCCGTGATTTTGCGTTGCAGATTTATTGTATTTATTTTATTTTTTATTGTATTTGCTTACGTTATAATTTAAAAAAATTTACGTTTTTGCACCTCGTGTTGATTTTCAGTCAGAAATTACGTGTGTCAAGATGATTTGCGCTGAGGAAGTGCAGTCAGCATATTCGTTAAGTCTTGCATCACCTGGTATAACCAGATCGAAACGCAGTGTTGTCATTCAACGACTAACTACCTGTTTTTCGGTTGGCTGCACCAAAAGACAATAGAGTGAATTTCTTGCTCAAGGAAATTAACAACTTTTAACAAAAAACTTTTGTGACTACTTGAGAATCGAACTTTGCATTTCACAAGTGCAAATTGATACTGCAGCCTAATCATTGCCTCCTCCTTTCCCATTTCTATCGCGCATGATAACCTTGCTTCCTTTCTTCTAGAATCGAAGGGGTCGCATGTTAAGCTGCGACATGTTAGGCATATTAACGCCTGCAGTACGTACACAAAACCGTACCACGTTGACGGTAGAGCGACAAGTTTTAGACACCAATCGAAACTAGTTTAATCACGGTTGAGCTTTCCATTCATGTTTGTTATTGTTGGATTTATCAAACGTAAACCAATCCGCCAATGACAAATGCTTTTCGCAAACAATCTAGTGTTTTTTTGTTAAATTTTTTGTGAGTAATTATCCAGCAATTTATTCGAGGTGTCAACCCACGTGAACAACTTCCAATGTTTCCCCAGCCTTCTTACAGTCAAATGAATTCAGAGAAGCGAAGCACTTTGCGAAGTCTTGGTCTAGTAAAGTACCATTGGCGAGTGGCGGGCTGCACCACGACCTCATATTGCAACTTCCGCGACCTCATGTAGCGCCATAGCAGACTTCTGTTCATCACTCATTCATTAAGCAAAGAACGTGCGAAATCACGAACTTACCAGCTTTTACAAATACAACGCTAAAATATGGGCTCCTTGGGCAGAAACAATTTCGTAAATCCATTTTTCAGGACTTCAAGATGTAATAAATTGCCCTTGCTCTTTGAAATAATCGATCTACTTACATGAACAATCTCAATTTAGTTGATTGCAATAGAAATTGCGTAATAAACTTCATTTGTAGCAAAAAATCCGGCTTAGTCACTTCGTCTTTTCATGCTTTATGCATGATCCGTCGTTTCTGATATGTTTTTGTCAGCTGTATACATGATGTGCTGAGAGCCCTGTCTTCACTGATGACTTGTTATTGTTTATAAAAATTTGAAAATTTAAATATTTCCAGATGGAGGTAGTTACGTGAGCCACTGCTTCACATTATTTTAGCGCCGACATGAAATGAATTTATCGTTGCAGCAAGCTTTTATGCTAATGATGCCTCAGAAGCATATGTACCTTATACACTTTATTATTTTACATTTATATCACTTCTATAAGCCCTACGAACAGGTATACCTAGATGAACGTTATTACCTCAGCGGCTGGAAGATCTGTTTTTAATACTGAGTTAAATAAGTATATGACCCTGTCGTGGGAGAATGTTCAATTCAAAAATAATGTGCCCCATATGCAACAGTAACTCTCAACTGCGTAGCAATTACCAAGCAGTAGCGCAGAATTTAAAATTTTCTATCGGTTGCAATGCCGGACTGGCGCTTTCATGCTGTATATAATTATGATGACCAATCACATGTTGTTGTTTGTCTTGTGGTTCTGCCGTGGTCGGCAGGAACGGTTCAGCTGCTGGCAACTCTGCTCGGTGTTATTTTTACGGTAGCCGCATACCTAAATGAGTGTGCTTGCATAAGCAGAACGTATCTGGATTTTGAAGTTCGTTGTATTCGTAGTATTGCAACGCTTTCGCTGGTCGTCATATAAGGAAATATTCCTCTCTGAAAATGGATCTGCCTCTCCCTTTCCGCGTTCCGGATCCCATATGAGAAGCTCGCAGGCTGGAGTAACTGGTTTCTACCTTGTCTAACATTGATATCCTCCTTTTCCTAATCTCCATGTCTATTGAGGCCATTTATGCATGCAAGAGAACGGAGTCATTACCTACGTAGTCCTGCCGTTTAGCTCTACTACGCATCAAAGCCAATGCCGTTGTATGCAGATCAACCGTCGTTTTTACTTCTTCCTCAACGCCAGTGTCTTCATGCTGTACAACAACAATGTTTAGACAGACGTAGCGTGCATGGAGATTTTTTTGGAAAGGGCTACCCCATCTTCAGGCTGAACATTTTGCAGGTTACCAAAAGCACTAGATGAAAAGGCGATCCCTTATTTAATTCTGATTACGTAGTGCCATCGCTAGCAACGACTGAGCCAAGATAATGAAGCTCTTCCACTTTCTGTATGGCTTAAGGTAGGGACCGGCATACGTCGCCGTGTTTCAGGCGTAAACCTTCTGGCTACAGAACTCGTTCTGCACGCTACTCACCCGGGCAATGTCATCTGCATGCTCCAGATGAGTTAGATATTTAGCTGGATGCTTGAATGTAGTTTTGTCACTACCAGTTATATCCGGTCAGCGGATAACAATATCCTCCAGTCCCTAATTTCATAGCTGACATCTGATGCTGTCTCCTAATGGTTTACCTGCGACCTCCGGGCTGCATGTTTGTGGCGC